CCCCAAAACCCCAAAACCCCAAAACCCCAAAACCCCTTGTTTGCAAATAAAGTTTACATAATTTTTATATCCAAAATGGAGATCATATCCACCACGTTTAAGAGAATCAAGTCTGGAGGACAAGCAGCTGTCCCAAGGATAGGCTCGGTTACGAAGAAAGGAATTTCAGTAGTAGGGAATCTTGGAAGTAAGATTATCAAAGGGAAACAGAAGCCTAAGAATGCTCAAAGTATCATGTCTCTACTCACAGAAGGAGATATAAAATATGGAGATGAGAACTTATTAGAAGATGAAGAGGCTATCTTCGAGTGTCTACTAAACACCAATCCAAAAGAAGTCTGTAAAGCATTGACAACCATCCTCTCGATTCTTCTTTACTGTTCAAATTCATCTCATAGTTCAAGATCTGCACCAAATTTAGACTCTGCTTTAACAGAAGAGGAAGACCTCAGGACAAGAATTATGAAAAAGTTCTACCCAGCTGTTGTCAATTGAATCCAAAATGAGAACAAGGAGGTGAAGAAGTTAGCAATGCTGGTCATCCTTCAGACATTTAAAGAGGATAATGAGACAACTATCATGTGCATCAACTCCCTCTTGAAAGAGGTTATCAATAAAGATGCTGAGAGGAGGGTGAATGGAATTAGATTAATGAGCTCAATTGCCAATAATGATATCTACCCATTCATTTATGCCCAAGTACAGAAGGGAATGAATGATTTGAACCCATTAGTTAGAAGAGTCTCCTACGCAGGACTCTACAAGCTTAAAAATATATGTGATATGGGTAATACAGAGACTTTTGTGCCAGATGATGAATCAGAAAATGACGATGATGAAAATGAAACTGAGACAGAAGATCTTTGTCTTAGACTTCTTAGAAATACTCTACATAATACCTCGGAGGAAGAGAAGGAAGTTGGCATCCAAACTCTTAAACCAGAGGAAAATGAGAATGTTCTTGCAATTGCTCTGTATTTACTTGACAAAATTATTGACGAGGAAAATGGTGTCGAACAAAAAATTAGTACCATTCATCCAGTATTTTATACAATCATTGAGAAACTTGATGAGATCGATGAAATTATTATTAGTCAGATAACTCCTATTCTAATAAGATACTCTAAAAGATATATGGCTACACAGATCAAAGAGAGTAGATTCCTTAATGAAGGTGATATGCTTCCAAAACAAGTGAGAAAAGTCACAGAAAATCTTTTAAATGCCCTTCATGGACTCTCCAACCCAGCAGCAGTTCTATCCTTGTGCCAATTTTTCTTAGTTGTTGCTCCTGCTTACATGATGGACCAAGTAGCTACTCATCTTATCAGAATCTTCAAAGAGCTCGAAATTGGAGGGGAGACAGACGACGAGCTTACAGCATACACTGTCCTTCATTTTATCGAGGCAATTCTGAAGAACAATCTTCTTCTCAGGGCAAATCCAAAAATTTTCAAAAACTTTTCAAGTCTTAGATTTATCAACAGCTTGTTTGTTAAAACAGACCAGTCACAGTACTACTGTGTGAAGAAGCTGATTATTCTTGATCTTATCTGTGACAGGATTAAGGACAATTCAACAGTGAGGAAAATAATCCTAGATGAGCATTTTTATCAGACTAAAAATGCCTCTTACATCATTGCAATGCAAGCTCTAGAAGGGATGAAGAACTGCGGCCTTGAAAGGAATGGAATCAATGAAAATTCCAAATCCATGTTTTACCCAAGTATTAGATATATGATTAAAATTGTTAAGAACAACAAAGATGACAGAGTTTTAGGGAGATGTGTCCAAAATTTACATGTCATGCTTCTTAAAGACAAAAAGAAAACGGCAGAAGTAGTATATTACCTAGTGTCTCTTTTGGATAGGATTAGCTCTCCTCCTGCTAAGGCAAGGATCGTGAAGTTAATCATTGATTTCATTGATTACTTTAAGACTCTAGCAAGGGAAACTTTCAGAAAGCTTGTAAAGAATTTTACTAATGAAAAACTTCCAGTTAAATTTCAAATCATTCAACTAGGAGTTACTCTGATGCTGATTAAATTTGATGATGCTGAGGAGAAACTAGAGGCGATTTTCAAATATGTCCTTCAACTTGGAATGCTAGATGCAGATTATGGTCTCAATCAGTTTACAAGAATGATTAAAGGAGTTTTTGATAAAGGAACTTTATTTGGAGGAGCTATTACCACCAAGACAGCTTTCACTAGGATCCAAAATCCTAAAGAAGATTCAAAGAATGTAGAAGAGTACAAAAATGTTGATATTCCTCATGAGGAAAGGAAGGTTGATCTCTTGCAAGACTTTGACAAGTATTATTTCCTGAGCTTATCAAATATCCTCAATCTTCCCCAAGACCAAGGAATGTCACTTGAAATTGATCAATGTAACGAAGAGCAGCAGGTTATAGCAGAAGAGCATCTCCAAAGAACTGGAGCAGTCAAAGAGAAACATGAATCAGTCACTAAGGGAAAAGTAGGTGAATCCATTGGCTTTGCAGTCACAAATTCCAAAGGAAAATCTGTGCAATCCATTGGCAGTGATGATGTCAAGATTATCCAAGGAATAACTAAGAAATCTGATAAGTCTAAGCAAAGCTATGCATTTAAAGATAAAACACAGTTGAAGAAGGAACTTGAAGATTGGTTTGATGATGATGACGAAGATGAGAAAATATCCTAATTTTATTCCTAAAACCATCCTGATGAATCTGCATACTTTCAATATTTATTAAATTATGAGGGGTTTTGGGGTTTTGGGGTTTTGGGGTTTTGGGGTTTTGGGG